ATTTTTATTCACACTCCCTCCAAGCGAATGCATTTTTTCGCTTGGCTGGAAAAATACATTGCAAAACGTGGAGAAATGTGCGTTTTGAAAGATGTTTGTGCTTTGGTTCACCTACTGTTTCACAAAGCATGGACTGGGCAGGTTTGCCTTTCAATTCGAGCTGCATTTACATAATTTCGCCCTTGTCCGAAACCTGAATTAGATGGGCCCCAGGATGGATGCAACATCAGGTCCATTTTTTAACAATCTTTTTTATACCTCTGTAGGCAAATATAAAGGGACGCAGGTGGCGCTGTGGGTTAAACCACAGAGCCTAGGGCTTGCCGATCAGAAGGTCGGCGGTTCAAATCCCCACGACGGGGTGAGCTCCCGTTGCTCGGTCCCTGCTTCTGCCAACCTAGCAGTTCGAAAGCACGTCAAAGTGCAAGTAGATAGATAGGTACCACTCCAGTGGGAAGGTAAACGGTGTTTCTGTGCGCTGCTCTGGTTCGCCAGAAGCGGCTCAGTCATGCTGGCCACATGACCCGGAAGCTGTACGCCGGCTCCCTCGGCCAATAAAGCGAGATGAGCGTCGCAACCCCAGAGTCGGACACAACTGGACCTAAGGGTCAAGGGTCCTTTTACCTTACCTTTAGGCAAATATAAAACTTTAGGGGTGAAACACTAGTTGCCCTCCTCTCTGGGGCAAAAGACCTTCGGAAGAGAGATGGAGGGAGGTCTCTGATGGGTGAGCACTGTGACTTCCTACATGCAGTCACAAAGAAATCTAGTTTATCCAAGCTTACTGCAAACTTGCAAAATTACAACCTCAAAGGGCATAAAACATGCAAATTCTACAGATGAACTCTGCGAGAAGTCCTTCCTTAGAATCATAAGAGCTGGAAGGAACTAAAACGGTCATCTGATTCAAACCGTTGCAATGCAGGAATCTTTTGCCCAGCATGGGATTCGAACCCGCAACCCTGGGATTAAGCGTCTCATGCTCTACCAGCGGAGCTATATGTACGTGTATATGCATATATGGAAACCTTACGTTCAATACGTGTGAACTTTATCTTAAATCCCCGTTTATTTTCACATTCCTCTGCATTGTCGCTAGCCTGCTTTCGAAAAAGAAACCGTTCCTCTCTGTCGCACAAAAACAAAATACGAAACCGAGAAACATTGCATTCCTTCCCACAAAAAGATACCCATATGCAGGAATGTCGAGATATTAAAGAGGTTTTTTTAAAAAAATATAATAATAATAATAAAACCTCTGTTCGCTTTTGCATGACAATGGGCAGAACATCAGAAACAACAGCAAATGCAAAAAATAAAAGTAATCAAATGAAACAGAGAGAAGGCCGTCAAAACCCCCTACAGAGGAGTTGAAAACTCTCCTTTTTTTTCATCCAATGTTCTAGGCACAAAATCGGCTACAGCCAGCCAACGGATTAACACTTTGCGGAGACCTTATATAGCAGTCCAGGGAACTATTGCTGGCAGCGTTCACACATGACAGCACCGAGTCCAGCACCACGTGGCTCCCCTCTCTTTGGGCGCAAGCAAACTCCCGGGCCTGCCCTGGCCGACGCGCAGAGAGAACAGCCAAGCTGGCAGAACCGTCCTGCGACTGGGCTGGAGGTGGGAGGAACTCAGTGGCTGAATGAATGCGTTTCCCCCCACAATTGCGGGAGAAGCTTCATGCATCCAAAACCAGCCCGTCGGAGGAAAAAGCCAGCCTGAAACTCTAAGCGCAAGGAGATCACAAAATCAAAGAACTGCAGGGCTGGAAGGGACTCTGAGCATTATCCAGAATATGCAGCTAGTTACCCCATACGGGTATCGAACCTGCAACCTTTTGTTCTTTTGTGCAGAAGAGCGTTGAAATCACACAGTTTCCCTACCCAGATTCAGCTACAGGCACATAGAATGCTGTCTTGTAATAATAATAATTACAGTAAAAACATAATAGGGGGGAAACCAATTTAAAATACAGGTTAAAACGCAATTTAAAATGCAGCCTCATTTTAAAAGTAGCCCATAGATCAAGACCATAAGGGGAGGGAAACATAAGGGTCAGACTGAGTCCAAACCAAAGGCCAGGCGGAACAGCTCCGTCTTGCAGGCCCTGCGGAAAGATGTCAAGTCCTGCAGGGCCCTGGTCTCTTGTGACAGAGCGTTCCACCAAGTCGGGGCCAGTGCTGAAAAGGCCCTGGCCCTAGTTGAGACCAATCTAACCACCTTGCGACTCGGGACCTCCAAAATGTTGTCATTTGTGGACCTTACTGAATAAGATGCTTTGTCCATCTAAATCAGTTTTGTCTGCACTGGCCAGCAGCAGCTCTCCAGGGTTTCAGGCCTGTGTTCGAAATCCCCCAGGTGGCAGGAGCATTTGGCGACTGGCATGGGTCCACTTGCAACCACATGGAGATCTCTGGGCACAAGGTTGGCCGACTGATATCTCCACCTGGCTGCCCCCCCCCAACTTTCTTAAGCAGGTCAGCTGAAGAGCTTACATACTGCCTTTACAGTGGTACCTCAGGTTAAGTACTTAATTCGTTCCGGAGGTCCATTCTTAACCTGAAACTGTTCTTAACCCGAAGTACCACTTTAGCTAATGGGGCCTCCTGCTGCTGCTGCGCCGCTAGAGCACGATTTCTGTTCTCATCCTGAAGCAAAGTTCTTAACCTGCGGTAATATTTCAGGGTTAGCGGAGTCTGTAACCTGAAGCGTCTGTAACCTGAGGTACCGCTGTATATCTAACCTTTTTCTCCAAGGAGTACATGGTTCACCCCCACCCCTCAGTTAATCCCTACGACGACCCTGCTATGTAGGTTAGGAGGCTGAGACTGACTCCAAGGTCACCCAGTGTGCTTCATGACTTGAGTGAGGATTCGAACCCGGACCTCCCAGGTCCTAGTCCAACACTCTAACCACTACACAATCCTGGCCCCCTAGAGCCCTTCCACTAGGGGGCAGCTCTATAAATTAAGTCAGTAAATAAACATGGGGCAAGCCCAACATCACTGAGAGAAGGATCTGAAATATTTCCCAAGAAACTTGCATTTGTTTTATCCTGGATTGTTTTAGTTGCTGTTCCGACGTGTTGCAAACCACTTCTGATATTTTTCCTTTAAAATATAAAGTGGTATGAAAATGAAATTAACAACAACATCCCACTGCAGGGGAGGAAATGTCACCAAGACACCGTAGTGACCTTAACCTAGGTTTAAGGCACCATGTGGTGATTCACTTATATACAGTCATACCTCAGGTTACAGACGCTTCAGGTTGCGCGATTTTGGGTTGTGCACCGCGCTGAACCCGGAAGTACCGGAACGGGTTACTTCCAGGTTTCGGCGCTTGCGCATGCACAGAAGTGCGAAATTGCGCTTCACGCATGCACAAAAGCGCCAAATCACGACCCGCACATGCACAGATCTCGGGTTAAGAACTTAATTCGTTCTGGAGGTCCGTTCTTAACCTGAAACTGTTCTTAACCTGAAGCACCACTTTAGCTAATGGGGCCTCCTGCTGCCGCTGCGCTGCCGGAGCACGATTTCTGTTCTCATCCTGAAGCAAAGTTCTTAACCCAAGGTATGACTTCTGGGTTAGCGGAGTCTGTAACCTGAAGTGTCTGTAACCTGAAGCGCCTGTAACCCAAGCTACCACTGTATCTGAATTTCTAACACTGATTCCCAGTCCTTCCCTGGGAAATTGAACCCACAACCTCCTGCATGCAAGGCAGATGATGTACCACGGAGCGATGCCTCTTCCACAAAGGCAGGAATGATATAAGGCAAGGAAGAGAACGGTTCTCTGGACCTATGAGGACATGTGAAAACTGGAGAAAAGTGTCCTGGGCACACAGACACCACAAGTCAGCAAATATCGCAAGGCTGTCCTTGCACAGTTCCAACGCTTCAATGGGAACTGGGTTTCCCGGAAGGAGAGCTAAGCTCTTTGGATAGAGCTGGGCCTGTGCTTCCTCTAGGAAGCTCTTATCCCGACATCAAACCTCTCAAGATCTTCGCCACCACAAGCCCTAAGCATGTCAACCGAACACGGAGGAATAAATTGCTTACTCTGCAACCAGGAATTTTGGGGGAGACGGTGGGTTGCAGCCTTACACCATAAAACACTGATATTGGTGCAGCCGTCTCGGGTCCACTTGTGCATGAGTGCTAGGACTGATTTTATAAATCTTTTTTTCTCAATTTGATCCTTTTACACTATGGTTACCAGATGTCCCCGTTTCCCAGGGACAGCCCCCAGATTTACAAATCAGTCCCATGACAAAATCCATCTATTTAGTAGGAAGTTGAAAAAATTCATTAAAAAAATCTGGTAACCTTATTTTACACGGCTTTTTACGTACCGTGGCATTTTATGCACTGTGACTTGGCGTTATTTTTTTATTTATCATAGTTTGGTAATCATTGCAATGTTTAAGAGTGGATTTCTGTTATTACTTGCTGGCGTTTTGTGAATTTTATTGTGTGCTGTTGTATTGAAACAGATGGTTGAACGCCACTTGATGTTAAGCCTTTCATTCTAAAGTTATGTTTCATTACGACTTTTTGTACAGGATCAGATCATTACAAGGGGCGTGAGTACAAATTAAAAGCGAAATGAAAAATGAAGTAACATCTGGACAGCAGCACAGACCCGCCAGATCGCAGATGCACATGGTGTTTCCACACAACAGTTTCCTCTCCAGAACCAACCATCTCCATGCAACTTTTGCAAGGAGGCCGGGATCCTTTCCCAAAACGTTCCACTGACAACCAATTCCGTGGTGCCAATCATCTCCATCGGGAAGTCAGTTTCCAGCACAGCATGTTGCATTTACAGCTGCACCAAAGCTCAGCCCCGCGCAAAAGCAGATGGGGACTCCCAAACCCACACCACTCAAGCCCAGATCTTGCAACTCCATCTGCAAAGGTGCAATCCTCCCTCCAAACCAAAGACAAAAGCTCTTAGCCCCTACCAAATTAAAATATCTTACAACTCACCACTTGCGGCTTGCTCCTGGCCAGGCCGGCGCCCAGCTCCTCATGATGCTTCGGGCACCTGGGCAGTTTGGGCTCAGACGTGGTCGGCGTGGCGGGCGAAGATCTGGGCGTATCCACCAAGCCGGCGGAGGGCGGCTCACCGAGGGCCAAGATGTAGTGTTTAGTGACATCTTCCAAGGAAGGGGTTTGGAGGACTGGGTAGGGCTTCGCGAGCAGGCGAGGGAGGTCCGGCGTGGCCCCGGGGACGTTCTGGCTCAAGGGAGGGGGGGTGTTGGCGCCCGCGATGGGGATGAAGGTGGCAGGCTCGCTGGCATGGCGGGTGTGCTTGGAGGGCGGCCTGGCTCTCCCCAGAGCGGAAGGGGCGACGGCAGGGAGCAGATCGGGCTCTTCCGCCCGACCCTCCTGCGAGCTGGCCCTGTTGCTGCGCTTCTTCGAGCTTCGGCGGACGATCCTGGGCGACAACACCTCGGCCAGCTTCGGGTCGAAGCCGTAGCTCGGAGCCACGTCGGTCGTGTCGCCCTCTGGAGCCGCCGGCAAGATGTGCTCGGACTGGGAGTACAGTTTCCCCCCGTCGGCCTCCCTCACCTGGTCCGACAGGATGGGCTCGCTGCTGGACGGAGGGATGCTCTGGTCCATCTCGCTGATGGGCTCTCCGGGGCCATCAAAGCCGGCGCCGGACAGCTCTCCGCGACGGCTGGGGTCGCTGAACGACTTCTTCTTGATGGTCTTCCCATTGCCCTTCTCGTCGATCACTTTGTCCAGGGCGCCGGGCTGGCTGACGATGTTTTGGATCACGGTGCTGTAGTCTTTGACGCCTTCGCTGCAGACCGACAGGTCGCTGGCGGCGCTGGCGGCGCACTCGGAGAGAGCGACGGCAGAGGCCTCCGGCATCCCCGACTTGGAGCTCAATGACCCCAGGAGGTTACTGTCCACGGAGAAGTTATTTGCGTCGTCCGTGAGGGAGGACCTCCTGTGCGGCATGGGGTCGCTTAAAGACCGGTAGGCCTCACCGTTGGAGTCGCCGTTGCTCCCGCTGCTGGACTCGGAGGTGCCGTTCCCCACCGACGGGAACTTCCTACGCCGCCGGAGAGCACTGGGCGTAGATGGCGCCTCCAGCGCCGTCTTGGTGTTGGGAAGGGCCTCTTCGGCAGCGCCCAACTTCTCGCTGTTCGCTTTGGCTGTGTGGTTTGGAAAGCTCACCGCGGACAGGCCGCCTTCGCTTCCTCTTTGGTGCTTCCAGGCCGCAACCGACGGGTTAAGGTAACTGTAGGCAGGGCCTGTTTCGGGCTCGGTTACGATGCCTTCGTCCGTCATGCTGGATTCAGGACCCGAGAGTTCCTCCAAAGACTTCCCACCGGACAGGTTCCCTTCGGAGTCCGCCTTCCGCAAACCCTGCCCGCGGCGTTCTTCCACAGCTGCCTCCTTCCACGTTTCCAAATCCTCGCCTTCGCCTTCCGCGCTTCCGACGTCCTTTTGGTCCAGACCGAAGTTGTAATCGTGCTGGGAGCCGATCTTGCTTATCTTCTCAAAGACCTGCCTGGCTTCTTGGATGTACTGGTCTTGGATGACGACCGGCAACTCGCCGTCCTCGCCGCCTCGGCCAATTCCATGGCCGCAAACAGCCTCTTGGTCGCCGGCGTTGGTGAGGAGGAGCTCGGAGGAGCTCTGCTTCATGGCGCTCTGGTGGAAGAGCCTGCGGGGAACGGGTTTGTCCGAATAGGTGAAAGACTTGGCCCGCCTCAGGGTCGCCGTGAGGTCTTTCAGAGTCGGCCGGCTGCCGCCCGGTGCCCAACGGTTTGGCGGCTGAGCCTCACTTTGGGTTCTACCTACCAGCTGCTGTCCGGCCAAGCCATACTGGTAACTTCTGCACCTGCCGCCACCAAAGGCCTCTTCTTCCTCCTCCTCGAGTTGGCTGGCTCTGCCGTCCTTCCTGCCGGCCTTCAGATCCGAGAGGTCCGACTTGAGGAAGCTGAGCAGCGCCAGCGTCTCGGTCGCGATATCCGGGTTCGACATGGACTTCCTGTTCCTGGACTTCTCCGCTGCCTCCAGGCCGACGCCGCGCAGGTTCTCGTACGGAGGGAAGTCCTGCTTGGCTTGGATGATCCCCAAGGGGAACTTGGGGCGGGCGCGCACCTGAGCCTGCAGCCGAGCCAGGCTGTCGCTTTGGTTGAAGCTCGGGGAGCGGAACAGGCCCGGACCCCCTTGCGAGCCCCTGCCTTGGCCAGGCCAGGAGGCCCCAAACTGGTCCTCCTCTTTCAGCGTCTCAGTGCTGGAATACCGGCTGCTGCTTCGCGACCCGCAGGGGCTTGGAGAGAAGGGGGGGATGTTCACTTTGGAGACTCGGGAGACGAGCGGGAGAGTGGGCGCCGAGGATAGGGGCCCGTGAGTGCCTAGCAGGGAGCTGCCGCCGCTTTCCAGCAGGCCTCGACCCAAGATGGGGCCCTCGCCTGCAGCTTTGGCCTCGTCCAGCAAGCTGGCGGTGGCTGAGGCCTTGACCTCGGGAGACGGCCTAGTCCTTTCGTCAGAGGGCAGGGAGAGAGTCTGTGCCAGGTCCTCCTGGGCCTTGAGGTACCACTCCATCCCCGCCACCAGCCCATCGCTGCCCGAGGCCTGTTCTTGAGGCAAGGGGTCCTTCTTTTTCTTCCGGAGGGAGCGCTTCCTGGGGGCGGCCAGGCGGTTCTCCTCCTCGCTCCCCGAGGACCTCTCGTGGGGAGATCCGTGCCAGCCGTTGCCGCCAGGGGGGGAGCAGGCAGCCGGCTGGGGGGCCCCCTTGGGCCTGGCCATCAGCTCCTCCTCGCTGCTGGAAATCTCCCCTGGCCTGAGGTTGCTGCTTCCACCTTCGCCCAGGAGAAGGACGGCTGGAGAGGAGGAGGAGGAAGAAGAGGAAGACGAGGAGGCAGCTGGCAGCAGCGTCCAACTATGCCAGGAATGTAAACTCTCCCGAAGTTGCAGCGGCGGCTGCGGCAACTTCTCCGCCTCGGTCCGGGGGGCGCCCCCGGCGGGCAGGCGGTGGGTCCGAAAGGGGATGCAGCTGCGCGGGGGAGGCGTCGGGGGGGCCTCCCGGCGCTGCTCGGCGACGCGGGGCCTCTCTTCCTCCCTGCGCCCGGGCGCCGCCCCATCGGGCAGGAGGCGGGGGGCGCCGTCCATGCTGCCCGGCAGGTGCCCCAGCTCCCCGGCTTGGTCTTGGGGGGCGCGCGGTGCCGCGCCTTCCTCGACGGGGTCGCCTCGGGGGCCTCCCTGCTGCTGCCGTCGAAAGCCGTCTCCGAAAAGTTTGCGCATCTCGGTCACGCTGGGCCAGTCGAGCGCCGCGTCTCCGCCTTTGGGGGGCTCGCTCAGTCCTTTCCCCCGAGGAGGAGGCGGAGGAGGAGGAGGCTGCTCGGCGGCGGCTGCCGGCGTCTCATCGGCGGGCCGAGCCGCCTGGTCTTCCCTGGCCCCGGCGCAGGTGGAGGAGCCTCCTCTCCCCGCGCCCGGCTCGCTCTGGGGCGCGCAGAAGCGCCGCGAAAGTTGGCGCACCGACGGCGACAGACTCCGGAGGGCTCGGCCGCCCGGCAGCGGCGTCGGAGGAGCAGGATCCGGCCCGGGAGAAGGCGAGGAAGACGAGAGCTTGGCGACGCTGCGGGAGACGCTGAACGAAGCAGCTCGGCTGGGCGATCGCCGTCCGATGGGCTGTGCTGGCGACGGCGGCGGCTGCTGCTGCGCCCTGGCGCTTGGAGGCTGACCCTGGCACGGCTGGGCGCCCGGGCGCGCCGCCGCCTCCCGCTCCCCCCGGGGGGCCGCCGCCTCCTCCGGCCCGCTCCTCGGGCCCGATCCACCTCTCGAGGCGCTTGCACGAGGCGCTCCGGGAAAGGGGGCTTCTCCTCCCGGCCTCCCCCTCCGCCATTGTTTTTACGCGCCCAGCTTTCCAAAGCCACCCCCGGAATCGCCCCCTGCCTGGCTCCCCCTCTCTCTAAACCGTCCGGGGCACCGCGCCGGCGCCCATCCGCGCTTCCTTTCCGCCGTGCAAAGAAAGTGGGGGCGGCCTTTTTTGGGGGGGTGGAAGCGGCAGAGAGAGAGAGAGGCAGATCTTGTAGCAGCCAAACTTCCAGGCAAGTTCGCACAGTTTTGCAGTTGAGTTTTAAGCGGGGCGGGTGGACGGCTGCAGCAGCAGCAGCCCGCGCTGGATTTTGCAACAATGCACAAAAAGGGGAGGAAGGGAGATCGCAGCCTTGCAGATTCGCTTGTTCCTTTTGCTCGATCCAGGCTCCCGGAGGAGGTCCAACCGCCGTTTCCCCACCACCCGCGACCCGGACTTCTGGTTCTTTTCCTTCCCAGAAGAAGAAAGGAGATCCCGGTGGCTGGAGAAGCGGAAGGAAAGCCGAGGGTGATGGTTGCGACGCCAAACTTTCAGGCCCAGGAATCCGGCCGGCCCGTCGGATTCAACGAGAGAGCCCCCCGCCGCATCTCAGTGCAGAGTAGACGAAGAAGCGACCTTCCAAGTATGCGCAGGAATTCTCCGGGGTTGGGGGGTCGGGGGGCCCTTCTCGCCGTCGTGCATTTTTAAAAATAATAAAGTAATATGCAAAAAAATAATTTTTTTAAATGGTTGCAGGAGCCCCCGGCGGCGTTGCAAACGGCATCCCGTTTTACTCGCTCCAGCCGTTTGTTTGTTGTGTTTTGCGTGGTTCTTTTTTCCCTCTGCCTTTTTTTTTTTTAGCATTTCACATAAACTTTCCCCCTCAAGAGGCGTGGTTTCTTTCCTTTCCTTTTTTTTTAAAAAAGGAAGAAGAAAAGGGGGATGGTCTTTTGCAAAGTCTCTGGGAACATTTCTTGTGCAATTAAAAAGGGAGAGAGAGGAGGAGGAGGAGGAGGAAACGAGGAGTCACCCCCCCTCCTTGTCTCTTCGGAAGGGATATTATATTTCGACTTCCAGGTCTTGCAGCCGCGAGACCCTGAAACCTGCAGGAGGAGGCTTCGCAACCCCCATCCTATGCAAGGTTCGTTTCTAGGGGCATAGGATCGGGTTGTGCCAAAGCGAGAGTCGGTTCTGCAAACAAGCGCCCCCACTGCTTGCTGGATCCGACCTCAGGACTTGCTGGATCCGACCTCAGGACTTATCTAAGCCAGCATCTGGCTTCCCATAGTGTCCCGCCAGATGCTTCAAGGAAGAAAGCCCGGAAGCGATTGCTCCCTCTACGATTGCTCCCCAGCAAACTGATACTCAGAGGTAGACTGCTCCTGTACAGGGAGCTCCTCTGTAGCAATAGCCGTGACAAAAAGCCATCGGTGGGTCCGTCCTCCGTGGATTTCAGTTTGGCTGTGCTGGTGGTGCACCCCAGCGGGAGCGTCTCCTGCACCCAGTTGCCCCAAAAGCGAATCTCCAGCTGGGTTATGCCTTTGAGGTTGGTCAGTTCCCGTTCTCTGTTTAGAGGATGTGGCTTTCTGATCTGGGCCAAATCAGAGCTCTCCCTTTCCAAGCTCCCTCCGTTTTTGAGGTAGCAAGTCAGGAATGGAAAGGGTCTGATCTTTGCTCCCTCGGCTGAAGTCGGTTCCAAAATTCCCATTGACTTTAATGGGCTAGGATTGCAGCCAAATATTTTAATAGTGTTGTTGCTTTTAACTCGTAAGGCCTGGGAAAGCCCGTTTCCTCTGGAAGCAATTTGGGCACCATCTACCGATTAAACACTAGCAACTGTGCAGCTGTCTTCACATTTGTGCATATACCTATGTGTATATATACATGTTTGCTATCTTCCCTGCCTTTCTGGGGTAGGATATAAATAGGCCCATTTCACAGACAGGAATCGAGAGTGAAAGAAAACGTTTTGACGTGTTAGGCTAGGGAACCCTTTGGCCGAACCAGCGTTTGAATCCAGATCTAAATGCAAACTTTCAGCTGGTGTTTTTGGAAGGAGCAAATGAGAGCGCTGGGTGTACTTTTAAGAAATGTGGTTTATTAATTTTACAGAACTCTGTTCTCTTCTTGGGCTTGCTGTATTTTGAAGAGCAGAACTGAGGACGCGAGGACGGCCGTTCAAAGCAAATAGATGCAATTGGTCTCAAATTTTACCCCTGAAAAAGAGGGCATGTTCTGGGGGGAAAGGGGACACATGGCAACCCTATTTGAATGCAATGACTCTGCTCTAAGGTATCCCTGCTTAGCATAGGTATCTTTCATTGAAGACACAAACATTGGCTTTCAAGTGGTCCGCAAGGCTGCAAGTCAAATAAAAATGGACTTTCCATCAAGCATGAATGAGAAGGTACAGTTCCAGAGGTACATTTTCCTCTTCACTGGAAAAGCTTCACCTGTTGGTTTCTGCCTGTTGTATGGATATTTTTTTAAATAAAATAAAATTAAAGCACTGTTGCTCATTAAAAAACACTTTTGCACCCACAGGAGTGAGCTATGTGTCGAAGGCAGACCAAACAGTTAAACAGTGGGTGCATTTTTTTGCAAGCACATGTCACTTTTGAAGCACTCTCAAAGCACATTCTTTCCCTCAAAGAATTCTGGGAGCTGTACGCCTTGCAGAACTACAGTTCCCAGAAGCCCCTTCTAAAACTACAATACCAAAAATTCTTTGGATGGGGATGTGTGAAATGTGTTTTAAATGTGTATAGTGCATACGTGGTCCTTGTCCTCCTCCTCATTTAATCTCCACAACACCCCTGTGAGGTAGAATAGGCTAAGAGGCAGAGGTTCACCCAGGGAGAGCATTGCCATGGACAAGTGGGGATTCGAACCCTGCTCTCCCGGATCCTTGTCCGACGCTCTGACCGCTACACCATACTGCCTCTCATCCCTCAATACCTGGAGGACTCCAGGTTGGCGAAGGCAGCTCTGATGAATTCACTTATCTGAAATAAATTATATCATTCTCCTTTGTATCGCATTCTCCGCCCTCTATTGTACTTCCTGCACCAGATTTTGGGCTGTAAGCTATGTTGGGCCATGTTTGGCTGCAGGGGCTGATGGGAGTCAGGGACCGTCAAGTGTCTGTAAGAACACAGACTGCCTGCCTGGGGTAGCTCAGTTGGTAGAACACGAGACTCTTAAATCTTTGGGTCGTGGGTTCGAGTCCTGTGTTGCATTGCAGGGGGTTGGGCTAGATGACCGCCAGGGTCCCTTACAGCTCTATGAATCAATGAATCCCCATCGCTGCCCTGTAATATACCCGTGACTGGGAGGGCGGCATCTCTGTGGCCTGGGGCTTCTGCTGGGCTGGCTACCACTTCCGCATGGTTCTGGCAGGTCCCCTGCGAAGGTTTGTCAGGAATGCGCCATCGAGGCATTCCAGGAACACCCAAGACTGTTGCCTGCTGTCAATGAGTTACTGATTAAAAGCTGTGCTCCCCATCTCTGATCTGAACCAATGTTCTCTGCTGGTGGCATTCGCTGGTTACACGGTAACCAAACAGCATCTCCTGTAAAATGCTCCAATGTCTCTTTTGGGAGCGCTAAACAGCAGTTCTTCTGGTCCACACTTTCAGCCACACCAATTTTTTTATGGATAAGAAATGCATCGGTGGGGACGGACGACAGCAATTCCTAGCAGCTTCTCTGAGGCTTTTACCCGTTTTCCGAAATAGGACGTCCCCGTTTTCATCAGAGAAATGTTAGCACAGAAAGGGACGCGGGTGGCGCTGTGGGTTAAACCACGGAGTCTAGGGCTTGCTGATCAGAAGGTCGGCGGTTCGGATCCCCACGACGGGGTGAGCTCCCGTTGCTCGATCCCTGCTCCTGCCCACCTAGCAGTTCGAAAGCACGTCCAAGTGCAAGTAGATAAATAGGTACCACTCCAGCGGGAAGGTAAACGGCGTTTCCGCGCGCTGCTCTAGTTCGCCAGAAGAGGCTTAGTCATGCTGGCCACATGACCCAGAAGCTGTACGCTGGCTCCCTCGGACAATAAAGTGAGATGAGCGCCGCAACCCCAGAGTCGTCCACAACTGGACCTAAAGGTCAGGGGTCCCTTTGCCTTATTTTCACCAGAGAAATGTTGGAGGGGACATCTTTTATCACAGAAAGGATGGAGGGCGCGTGAGCTGGCTCATAGCCATTGAAACCTCCAGGTACCACCACACACACCCCAGGAGAAAGGCAAAGGAAGTTAGGGGTCAGGTGGGGTCTGGGGAGTAGAAGGGAAATGGGACACTAGTAGGTCACCTCAAAAGTAGACCTCTGAGATCCGCTCCGCACAACAACCCTGTGAGGTCGGTTCGTCTGAGACACAAATGATGGACTCGATTATGCCTAGGGAGCTGGGTTTCCGATGTGCAACCACAGCCGTGCAGATGCTCCAATGTGCTGTTCTCTTCCTCTAGCAGCAAACTGCCTTTATCAAGCAGTTGTTCCCTTACCTTTCCCGCCCCGACCTGGCCACAGTGATCCATGCAACAGTCACCTCCAGGCTTGACTACTGTAATTCGTTCTACGCAGGGCTGCCCTTGAAGCTGTCCCAGAAACTCCAGTGGGTGCAGAATGCTGCTGCGAGGCTCCTCACGGGGTCTCTGCCATGGGAGCATATTCACCCAGTGCTTTCCCAGCTGCACTGGCTCCCAGTGGAGTACAGGGCCAGGTTCAAGGTGCTGATTTTAACCTTTAAAGCCCTTCACGGCCTAGGACCCTCGTACCTACGGGACTGCCTCTCCTGGTATGCCCCACGGAGAGCCTCAAGGTCCATAAATAACAACACCCTAGTGGTCCCAGGCCCTAAGGAAGTTAGATTAGCCTCAACCAGAGCCAGGGCCTTTTCAACACTGGCTCCTGCCTGGTGGAACGCTCTGCCTCATGAGACCAGGGCTCTGCGGGATCTGATTTCTTCCACAGGGCCTGTAAGACAGAGTTGTTCTGCCTGGCCTTTGGCTTGGAATCAACTTGACTCCCTCCCCCTCTTTCTTTCT